TGTGCAGGTCAGTCTCGCGTTGCACCAGCTGCACTCCCTTAAGTTCCTGCACCTGGACGTGCGCGCAAAGGCAGTCCATTTTGATGAGCGAGCACAATGCGCCAAACTCGCGCGCTTTCATCGCGCACGTTCATTTACCGATCCTTTGGTGTATGCACCCTATGTTGGGTCGTACAGGCCGCCTGAATGCTGGGGGCTCGAGCGTGGATTTCCAGTTGGGTTGGGGACGGAGGCATGGGCCTTCGGCGTGACCCTGATTGAGGTTGCCTCAGCCATGGAATTGTTCACTGGTGCCGAGCAGATAATGCAATTCAAAATGGATCCCAGGGTCATACATAAAAATGAGGCGCTCATGGCCATCCCTGAGAAGGTCCGCTCTGTGCTGCTCAGATTTCTCTTGCCTGCCCAGGAGCGCCTGTCAATTCGCACATTTGTCGCTGAGAAAGAACGGTTCTTCAAGGATCTTTCAAATGGCCGTCCGTGATGCACCCTGAAAATTGAGGAGGTCCGCTACTGGCCTACTGGTGGTGACAATGCAGAGGTGGCTGGACGCTCGTCAAGCAGGGGGTTGTGAGCAAAGAGCCTGCAACAGAAGAGGTTCATGTTTTGGATTGCACAGTTGGGCCAAGGGCCTTTGTGTGCGGGAGGCACAGACATGACTGTGCCTTCAGCGCGACGCAGAAAGTAACATGCATCTCTGCCAGCGCGGTTTTTCGCACGAGTGGTTTGCTTGCATCGTGGTGAGCGAAAGGCGGCAATTTGCGCGCTGTGCCTTTCGTGTTTCAACGGTCCTCTTACAATGGGGTAATGACCCACTGCTGGTGGGTTCCACAAAGCCTATCCCTTGAGTAACCGCTGGGTGTGCCCAAAACCGTAAACCCCAAAACTGAAGCCTAGCCAGAAACGATGTTATGGCACATGTTTTTGTGTTGGATCCATGGTTTGCACCTCCATAGTTTCCTGCAAAAACAGCTCTAAATCAGGATGTGCGTGAAACTCTGCTTTTGAAATTCAGCAAAACCTCGTTTTCAACAACTTCACTGGTTTCCAGGGCTACTTACGGCTTATGGGTTTGGCAGGGTTTGGTTTCAGGTACGAGGCTGCAAGTTGAAAGATTTAGTCAGGTCTCAGGGTCAGGGACTTAACAACCATTTACTGAAATCAGTTTTTGCTCAAC